CATAAATATTGGAAAATAAGACGAGCAAGAACGATTTCAAGGGGTTTCGTGCTCGTACGCATAATTTCCGTGTGATTCACGAGCGAAATACCAGTCACGCCATCAAAAGTCTTCAAGACTTACGAGATTCGACAACTGCCATCTCGACGCGCAGCGACGATTAAACTTTTTTTTCTCAACTATTTATTGCCTTTGCGAATTATTTGAAAAGCAACAATTCAAACTCCTGAACAGCTAAATGGCAATGTAAATAGCATCGAGCAATGTAAATAGCAGAAGAAAAAAAAAGGAAGCTGGAATGAAGGACGGAGAAGCGGGTGACTTACCGTGAATAATGATTAATACTTGAATGACTCAGTCGGAGGAACGTGGACCGCCGCATAATCCAAAGGTGGACAAGAGGCAAAGAAAGCAGTATGACAAAACTTTCCGAGTGATCGCTACCTCCGAGGCGCGATAACGTCATTTCGATTGGCGGGCGCGAGGAAAATAATACAAAATAAGAGAAAAAACGAATAAAGAAGGATGAGGAGGTGGAGAGCAGACGAAGCGCAGATATCGTGTCGGTCTTTCCGGCGTACCCGGACGATTAGCAGACCTGCCTGTTTCTCCCTCTTCCCTCTTTTCTAATTTATCACTCTTTTGTGCCTGAGATCATCCTCCCGCTCGAGGGACCACTCTATATACGTTCACTTTTTCTCTATTTTTTTTCTTTTTTTTTCTTCTTGATTTTTTTTTTTTTTTTTCATCTCCCGCACACGCACGCACACGCGCCTCGTACTCCTTTCGGCGTCTCCGTGTCTGCCGTAGCCATCTCCATCCTCCTTCTCATTCGGCTGGTAGTAATGCGCGCGCGAGCTACGGCCCGGATCTTTTCCCCTCAAACTAATGAATCTCTTCTTTTCTCCACTTTTCCGGCTCATTGTTTTCCAGGATGTCTCTCTTTAATTTCTCATGTCGAGCGCGACTCGACTCGAAACCCTCCCTTTGCTTAGAGAACCCATCTCTTTCGCCCCGAACCCTTTTTTACGACTTTCTGACATTTCAAGAAGCCGCCACACAACACTCGAGCGACAGTTTCTCATCGTGGAAACGTTTTTCATTCCGACGAATGCTTTTGACTATTTTCATTGTGACGTTCGCCTCCTTCCATTGCAAGTTATTATTTTTCATCTCGAGCTTTTTAAATAAACGACTGCTTATCAATTCTTACCATCAATTAACATTGTGCCATTGTGAAGCCAATTCGTCTCGCGGGCTCTTTCCATATTAATCTCAAATATTAGCAAAATCATTGTCGGACGTTTGGGGAAACGCGAAGGACTTTACCGATTCGCATAATTCGCCATATCGCACGAGCATCGCGCGAAATAAATTAACGAGATACATCGAACGTAATAGGGAAAATAAATCGCTAAATCGGTTATATCACCAAATAAATTGACCAACTGACCTTACTATCCAACAATTACGTAGTGCCATTACCATTATTCGTGATGTATCCCAACGTAATTGCTGATCTCACGACTATAATTAGAGATATTTTCTAATTCCCATGATAATGTCGGGCTGCAAGGCGCTGATTCAATGTCTTTCGCATGCGTAAACCGTATTTATAGACAAAATGAATTTACTCGCTCGTTTAAAGCTCGAGCGTTTCAACACTTTATACATATTTTTCAATAATTAAACGACATTGTTTTATTGATTGAAAGGAGGAAGAGAGGGGCGCACTGGCGAGTGGCGATTGCTTTGAGTTTATCAATTCACAGTGGCGATTAAGAATGATGGGCAAATCGTATTAGACGTAATGGACAAGAGCGGCTCCAGCCAGGGTACGCTAAGAATTGCCGATTGACACGGTTTGGCAATGCCGTTACACGAAGAAAAATGACTCTCTAAATAAGCAACCCGCGGCGCCTCGGCATATCAAATATTCATTAAGTCCAACCTATCTCGGACTTGATCTACTTTAAACACGTTTTTATTTCCCTTATTGGTGAGATAAAGCAACTCGCGTCGAGTCTATGAGCGCTCCTCATTCGTGCCTCGGGGAGTCCCATCGGCGCACGTTCACCCGACATCGATGTTTTAATACTGAGACCTAGAAAATTCATCATTGGCCGAGATTGTCGAAGGCAGCCGGGGGGACGATCGCCACGATAAGGACGCATTGATAAACGTAGGCCAGATACGCGGCTCTCGTAGCTAACCATCGGACAATAGCTCGACAACCGACTTTTTTCAAACACGAGGACGATGTAATCTCGCAATCGCGTGTTATCGCTCGTCTCCATCGGTTTCCCGCTGCTGGATAACGAATTCGGCAAATCGAGAGCCTCGGGCCAATGGGCCAGCGGCCCTCTAGCGGTCACGAACGTCGCTCCGTCAAGCCGCCGTAGAAATAAATGAAACAATAGCCGAGGAAGCGCATTCCCGGCCCGCTTCATTATACTTACTTGCGCTCCTTGAGACGAGACGGCGACATGGCACACATGCGCCATGTACGGGCGAAGGTCAAGTTAGGTGTCGTGTGACACACTCGTAAATGCGCGGATAATAACGAATTTGGCGTTGCTCTTAGACCGTGAATTATAGACGCCCTCCGACCTTCTCAGAGTCGAGCACCTCATTCTCTCTCTCTCTCTCTCTCTCTCTCTCTCTCTCTATCTCTCTCTGTCTCTCTGTCTCTCTGTCTCTATAATTAATAAAGCTTCTATTATAACGCCAGTCGTATAGCTTTGATGCGTCTATTTCGTTGTGAAAGAAATTTGAATAATTATTACTAGCGAGCCTCGCGCGCTAATCGAGTCCTTGCATCATTGTCCCTTTATCATTGGCCAGATCTTATGCGATATTTTATCGAACCGAAAGCTTTTCATAATATCAAAAATTTTTCATGCCGCTTAAACACGTATACAAATGTCCTATTGTTGTTGTTGTTGTTGTTGTTGTTGTTGTTGTTGTTGCTGCTGACCTGCTCCCTTTGCGTACTCCCACTCGCTCGCTTTCAGTGAAAACGCGCAAAACGAGGCTCGCGCCGTCAATGTCTAAGAGGCAAATATTTTCATCGGGCGATTGCTGGGCGCCGAACGACCTTATTCGAACGACGGCTGCCGATACAAAGTACAAAGCCTCGTAGAGGCACGTTTTGCTCGCTGGTGATGAAAGATGAGGCTGGCCTGTGGGGCGGCAACACTCGTTGAGAAACTCTCGCGGCCCTCAATGCTCCCTCCGCTCGCACTCCTATCTTCGTCCCTCTCTCTCTCTCTCTCTCTCTCTCCATCCACCTCTCTCTCCTCACAATCCCCTCTATGTTACACCCCCCCCCCCATTATCGACGAACCTCTTCTTCCTTCCGCTCGCTGGCCGTCTCACGAGTTCGCGCAACTCGCGTACGTGTCTGGGATTACAACAATCGAACTTTGCGAATATTACAACAATGGGCCGAGTCATCGCCGGGGAACGTCCCCCCCTTCCGTCGCCGCCATTATCGCATCCTCGCTTCGTAGCCTTTGTTTTGCGCAAATAAAGACGAGAAAGGAGAGGAAGAGAAAGAACGGAGTATCCCGTTCCCTCGTATTTCCCTTCCTTCCCCCTCTTCATTTCTTTCGTTTTCCATCTCCCCTCGTTCTCGCTGTTTTTCATCTTTATTTTTGTTTTCGCGCAAAGTGGGCTGCTCGATTTCTTGCGCGGTCGGGCCTCGGACGTCATCGGACGCGGGCGCGTAGAAACGCGAGACGATAAGAAAGCGACGCTCGGCATTACCGGTAAATTAATCGACTCTGCTCCGTGCCCAACGAGCTGGCCATTCTCGTGTACTCATCTCTAATGATTTTATTGACATTTTTGTAATTGTGTCTGAGAATTTGAGGAACTCCGCGTCGTCGCGAAAAAGCCGACAAGACGAACGACGAATTTGATCCTTCGTTGATCATTGAGTCGCTCCCATCCCCGCCCATTCTCGATGTGAAGAAGATAGTTAGCAGGTATTATCAAGCTCTACAGGTACAATGACAATTGGATTAGTTGGTTAGTTAGTGCTGATCACTTGGATACTTAAGTCGGGCTAGTGGATGCTGACGGTTCGCGTAAGATGGCGAGAAACCGAATCCTCGTTTCTATCTGAAAAGATGATTTTCACAGCGCGATAGCTGTTCTTTTTAAGTTGGATAAGCTCATTTTTTATTTGCCAAGCGAATAGCTTATAATTGCAGATTTATCGCTATTATTCCCGTCGCGTTGATAAATAATGATCTTTTATGATAATTGATGTAGGGCTTTGGCCATTGGGTTTGGAATATTAGTTTAGTAAGTCTTTCGTTCGTTCAGTAGCACTGGCAATATGCGTAGTTTAATTTTTTTTTTTTTTTTTTTTTCATTATTATTGTCGAGCTGTGCAATCTATGTACGTGAAAAATTCATTCGAAACATTACGTAATCTCATGAAAGTTTGTTGAACAAGTTGGTCGGCTTGCTTCCGAAAAATTAGTAAAATACGTTTTAACGCGAAGATTAAAATAGGTCGACAATAAATATCCCTTCTTCCTTCCATAATAAATGGACTTTGAATGGTTAATAACGACCGGCTTATCAAATATCAGTGGTTCAATTAATCAACGATAATATCGCTTAAATATCGCTCATTCGACCTATAATTTTTTTCTTCTTCTTTTTCTTTATTTATTATAATCTGGACCGTTTAACCTCTCAAACGTATTTAACAACAATTCTGCGAGGGCATACTTCCTGCACATAGCCAACTGTAATTTTCATTGAAATTATTGATACGAAGGCGGTAGAAGGTCCATGACAAACTATGATCAGCCAGTCCTCGAGTGATTTAGAAAATTTGTCAAAGACTGGGCCTAATGTGTGTCCAGGACAACACGTGTGTAACTATTGGGATAGGGGAATCAGTCCTCCTTTGGTTAATCCGGCCGATACTGATAAAGCGCGATAATAATAAAGGCAAATTGAAAGAGTGCGGGCCTACTCACTCTCCGACTCGTTCCCCGTTCCAGCACACCTTGTCCGGGTACTCCTCGCAGATGGTGTCAGCGAGAGTGCCGTAGAAGGTCCTCGACCTGACGACGCTCGCGAGGAAGTTGCCGAGCTGGGCGTGAAGTTGATTCGGAGCCTTGGGGCCCTGGGTGACGAGGGGCGGGTGCACAGGAGCCCCGAGGGTCCGTCCGTCGAGGCCCAAGAGCGGACCCCCGGCTCCACTGGCCCTCGTCGACGCGGCCAGACTCGCGGGCAGCACCAGCTGCGATCCTAAGGCCGATGACTCGAGCTCGGGACGTCCGCACACCTTCCTCACCTGCAACCACACGAGTTTCCAACAAACGTCATTAGCGAATTAATCGTGACTTCTGCTTTTCTTATCGCCCGATTATTCTCACCCACGACTCGCGGACTCTCGACTTGTACGCTACGCTAATTATAATGTCATTTATTACTTAAGCAGCTGAACTATTTAAATGGCATTCCTCAATTAGAGTCGTGTTTTGCTCAAACGACCCGGGAACTGGGAATCCATTTATGGTAATTATTGGAGGAGAGGCGCGAGTCACCCGAGTCGTGGCTATAAGAATAAATGGGAATAAGACGACGAGCTTTCGTTAGCTTTTACTGGGCCTAACATTGATTTGCGAACAAGAATATATAACGCAGAAACAGAAGACGAAGAAGAAGAAGAAGAAGAGGAAAAAGAATAATAATAAGAAGAAGAAGAAAAACGAGAAATAAGACAGTAACAACGACAACAACAGCAACAACAATAACAAGAAAAATGAAGAAATAAAATAAGGATCGTTTCATCGGTTACGGATGCTGCGCCTCCATTTCAAAATAGCACGTAACCATGCTTAATTACAATAAATAATAAGGATTATATTCATCGATAAATGGCATTAAAATTTAAATGATACAAGAACGTGTAGAATAATTTTTATTCAAATATTAAAGGAAGACAATTGTGTATGTAAAATTATCCATAAAATTGACGACATTCTTCTCGAGACTCGGCTCGAGTATGTAGTAAATTTGAAAATTTTATATTAAACGATCGAAATTTATATCCCCGATATTCAAAATATTTACATTTTGTTTTGAGCATACTCGCATATATTACTTAACGCCACCACATACCGACTACAAGTCAAATATATTTCAAGGATGTTTCATATTATACGGAGAGACGAAATAACGATATTTCAATCGGCATCCTTGCGGTTTTAACGATTTAAAAAAATTACATCCATACGCGAATTCAATATATATTTTCAACTGAATTAAAATAACATATTAAAATAACAGAATTGCCTCCAAAAATGTAAATTAATTCTTTTAAAGTCAGATTTAAGCTAATTGCAATAAGTCTGATAATAAATTATTTATGTACGTGCCTGTAGCGCCGTATTTCTTGCCGTTAATTTAACGGGCGTCAAATATATATTGTTCTTTTATGCAATCAGAGAGTTTAATTCATAATAAATATTCATCAGAGATCGCATTAAGCGTAGCGCAATGTCTACACAAATTCTACGGGATTCTTGAATGTCGTTTCATTTTTCCTCATCCGCGTAGCCAATCAATTAATTCTTTCAAACTCAGCATTACCGAGTTCAATTATTAATTTAAGTAAACACCAAATGCATCGAAGGAACATTCGAAAATCATCATCATCATCATCATAATCATCATCATTTTTTCTCTCTCTCTCTCTCTCTTCTCTCCCGCCCCCTCCCCATACCCCCTCCCCATACCCCCTCCCCATCGTCCCACTCACTTTCCTAATCATTATAATAAGTCGAGATTTTGCCAACTTTCATGCCTTAAATACATAAAAATAGTGTTCGCAATTTAAATCTTCGACTCCAATTTTTTAAAAATCATATTAATCAAGCAAATATGCAATGACTATAAGAATGCTAATAAGAAGTCACTTAAATCACATTCATTTTCATTACTCGACGAAGTAAAATGACATACGCGGCAAACGTGAAAAACTTTGGCGCTTCCTTTATCGAAAAGGGAATCGTCCACACTACAAATTCGACGCCTTACGATGCAATAAAAATATTAATGCTGCTTCTCCCGAAGGAAATTCAATCCATCTTTTAAGACTTTTAATTTTTCATTCCAGACAAGGATGTCGCCCGACAACGAATAACAACAATTTAAGAAAGACCTAGACCATTCCACCGCCGCTTTGTACATTCCAAACAATCAACATATTTCAATATTAAAATTATCATCACCGACCGATGCTTACAAAAACATTTACTACTTTATTCTGCGTCTCATCCGCAAACTGTTAGCCATCTCATTCGCTTCGATTCGGCAATGTCACCGCCGCTTTAATTATAATTACCATCACCCCCACTCAGGCCCAATATACAAACTATCTTGTAACCGCTAAATCTCTTTTCACACATAACTCTACAACGAAAGTTAACACGTATTACTTATGCAGATATAAATTCATTTCGAATTTGCCGTTTTTCTAGGGAAAAGAAATAAGCTGCAGAGGCGTCTGTCTGTATGCTACATTAGATGGCAAGAGAGTAAACCCAACCGGTCCTCGCGATTCTAGCACGACGATAGTCATGTAAACTGCGTTATCTTTACGCATGCGCCAATTTACATCCTTACACCGACAGATAAGGAGGACGTGGGATTCGTACCTCTAGAATTTTGCTCTAACTTTCTACCCATCACCCACCCACCTCCTCCATCTATACCATCGTGCCTCTCTCGTTCGACCACCCTCCAACACCCCCATTTTCATTTCTCTTTTCTTATATTATATATACTTGCTTTATAAGATATGCAATCTATTTAAAGTTTATTTTATATTGAAATTATACTTTTATACAAATTTGAAAAGTAGATTTATGATTATATTAATCGTTTTAATAATTAAAAGTACATATCAGTGTTTATTCTTGTTTTTCTATGATGAATAATTATTCAAATTGTTATGGCTTTAAAACAGATATAATATTCAAGAATTATTAAAACATATGAGATTTTGTTATATACATAAATATAATTCTAATATAAATCATTGAATAATTGATGAATTATTTCTGTATACAGAAATTATTATAATTAGAGTACGATTAAATTAAAGATAAATTAAAGTGTTTAAACACGTTTATTATAAAGTGTTTATATATATATATATATATATATATATATATATATATAGATGTGTGCAGTATATGAAATTGACTTTGTTCGTCATAATCATATAAAGAAATTAAAAATTTGTCGTTGCAGACTCGATGAAATATTAGGGACGATAGTTTTAAATAGTCATTTAATGAATGGATTCTGCAGAAGTAGTTAGCAGCAGATTTATTTATCTGTTGTAGCTTCTGGTCCATCTACCTCATGCAGAGGTAGATGACACTCGTACGAATAAAAGGAAATAAAAAGTGAAGAAAAGAAATATCGAGTAGCGCACGATAAAAAAAATGAACAAAATCTTATTTAAAAGGTTGGGGAGGAGGAAGGGTGGGGCATGCCAAAATAAATCGATGAGCGGGAGACTTCGTCAGTGTGGTCGAAGGGAGGGGGCAGGAAGGGAGGAAGAGAGGGAGCCAAAAAAAGAGAGATAGAGGGTTGCGGTAGTACGCCCACGTCCAGCACGTTTTGTCTTAATTAGGCGGGAGGTCCGTAAACGACTGCCAGTTTCCATAGTTGAAAGAGTCGAATCACCTTTTGAATTTTTCGAAAGGATCTTTTAATTATTAAGTCATCGCGCGCCACTTCAAAAGATTTTTTTGTTACGTCGTTTCCCGCACTTTCTTGCGCGCCACGTTTCTTTTGTTTCTTTTTGTTTTTATTCTTCTTCTTCTTCTTCTTCTTCTTCTTCTTATTATTATTATTATTATTATTATTAATATTATTATTAATTTTATTATTACTATTTGTTTTTATAATTCTTTCTTTTGTTTTATCATTCGATCTGTTTGTGTCATTTTGTGCCTTTATTAAACATTTTTATCGGTTCTTAAATATTAAATGCTTTAACTAACCGGTGTATAAATGTTAAGCGAGTCAGGACTTGTTGATAAATAAGGACTTTTTACCCCCAGAAATGTTATATTTCAAATGATATAATCTGACTCAACCTTTAATTAGTCATGACAATGTTTTGCCTGGGAGCCTGAACTTGGGAATACGTTTTATATAAATTTTCGTTTGCTTATAATGCTGGAATGTGTATTTTTAATGTATAACTTGATCTATGAATTCTCATCGTTAAAACGATGATGTTTCAACTGTTGAATGATGTCAAGTATTAGAATATATAGAATAACTTAACGAGCTGGAAAGCTATTATTATATAAAACACTGTCAGAGTCTAAATAGTACATTCATCTAAGCGGTTTTTAGCTCTGATTTATTTGAAAACATTATGTCGAAACAAAAAATGTGAACACTATCATTTATCAGAAGAAGGTGTTGTTAAATGTTTATCTAAAACGTTAGTCAATTTATAGATTATCAACACGTTTATAATATTTTGGATGGGTATTTTAATAAAATTAAATGTTGATTTATGGCGGAATGGCGTGACATGACAGTCATTTTATGGCAAATCTTTCTACAGCCGCGAATACTAAATATATTATAGGCCTCTATACGTAGAAAAATGCTCGCATCGATAATAATAGATGAATTGTTTAATGAAATGGCACTGCCTGACTCTTCGTAAAATTTGAATGATTCACAATCTTTGGAGACTGGATTTTGATTATCCGAAGAGCAATGATACGAGAGTCGAATCACTGCTTCTTTCGAACTAATAAATAATTGTTAAAGAGAAAAAAAAATTCTATTTTGGTTGAGAGTTCGAACAAAGAATGTATTTCTGTACACGCACAAACGTTCTCTCCACCAAGGGCTGGCACATTAATACTTTAGTCGACTAATAACAAAGCGATACTCTCCACTCCCTTTTACAATTATCCAAACGAACATTTAATGGCAAACAAAAACAATGACGAATTATATAATCGATCGCTGATTATAGTTAAATATAAATAAAATTCCCGTTGTGAGAATGAATAATTAGGGTAGAAGCGATTATCGATAGACAATCATATCTCTCTTCCTCTTAACTCGCAGGCTAATAAGACAAGCATATTAGTACATTAACAAACCTGCGTTATCTCGATCGATATTTCATCGTTACGTGCAGTCATAAAAGCCGTAATTTATATCCGGTACGCAATAGAACCCTCCCGCCAACTTCTCTCTCTCTCTCTCTCTCTCTCTCTCTCTCTCACACACACACGCGCGCGC